GGTTTGCCTTTCTGACTGCCAGGGGCTGCTAATAATGCTTTGGTGCCATCCCTTGACCCCACCTTATCTGTCACCCACTGGGTGTGGGGCGCTGTGGGAAGCAGAGTGATAGCCTTGACTTCTGGCATTTCTACCACTTCCCAGACTGAGAAGTGTCAGTGCACAAGCATCATGAATTTATGGGGAGGGACTCAGCTTCCGTGTGGACTGAGCGGTGCCCGCCTGTCTACCCAGTGGGTTAGATAACAGGGGGAAGTGGGCCAGGGGCAGGGGGATGCAGAGGAGGGAAGGGAGTATTTCTCATGAGAACCCACAAATATGAATGATGATGGGGAAGTAGTCTGCTATTCTTCCCTTTTTCAGGTCAATAAATCATTTTTGGCCAAGAACAAACTATTCTATCTGGCATCACTCTTTTTTCTTTTTCTTTCTTTCTCTCTCTCTCTCTTTTTTTAACCAACTTTCCTAGGACATTCTTTCTCCTGTGAACTCCTTACTATAGAAGAAAAGTTGCAAACATGAGTCAATGTGTAGTTTAGGATCCATCACCAAGTGAGGCCTGTGCCAGGACAGTCCAAGTTCAGGCATGATAGGGAGGGACACTAAACATCCGGTCTACAAGTAAATTTGGATCTAGGCTAAATGGATCTGTCCAAGCCATGTGGGACGATGGATACCATCAAATGTACCTTTTCTAACAAATCCTCCAAGCTCGAAGGCGAATAATCTACCCACCCACAAAGGTAAACATGTGTCCATTTGAGGGACTGAAGGGTCTGTGATACCCACCATCTCCGCATCAGAAAATAAGGAAGGAGTTCTAAGGGGTTGGTGTGAGATGAAAGGAATATGTCTTAAAGAAAGTACAGTGCCCAAGTTAAAAAAAAAAAACAACCTGTGGCGTATGGCTCTCCTGAAGGTAGCCAGTTTCTGTAGGGTCTTGGTAATCCCAAGGAACAAATATCTAAGACAATTCCTATTTCTTCACTATTCCGGAGAAAGTCAAGGTCTGGTTATGGACTCTGAGATTTGGAGGCAGAGATTGGTGGGACTGGGGAAGCCCTCACACTTGACCAAGCCAAGCAGAAGCACCTGCTGCAATTTTGAAACCCGGATTCTGAAATGAGGAGGGCCAAGGAAATCTACAGCTGCCAGTGCAGAATGTGAGAGGAATTCCTTGAGTTTGAGGTTATAAATAGTTAAGGTCTCATGGGTTATCACCTGCAAGAGAATAAAATGTAGACTATGCCCATCCCCCACCCGACCTCCTCATGGGTACAGTGCTTAGGTTCTTCTTTGGACGGCCAGAGATGGACTTCTAGAGAGTTCTGTGAAAAGCTCTTAATTTGGAAACAAATTCATAAGCATGCATGTGTTCTCTGGTGTATGTATACTGGCCCAGCTGGTATTGCTCAGTGGTTGCGCATCAACCCATCACTAGGAGGTCTCTGGTTTGATTCCTGGTCAGGGCACATGCCTGGTTTGAGGCTCCATCCCCAGCGGGGCGTGCAGGGGCATGTTGATGTTTCTCTCTCATCAGTGTTCCTATCTCTCTCTCCCTCTCCCTTCTTCTCTCTCTAAAATCAATAAAAACATTTTAAAATTTTATTTAAAAAAGGTATGTATACTGTGTAAGATATATATTCTTCTGAGGTTTAAAATAGATTTTCTTAAGGTCCGTGATACTAAAAGATTAAAACCTATAGGTTTAAGGAATTGCTATTTGAAGGAAGGTTGTCAGAAGTGACCAAATGGCAGTAATTTCTCCTGTACTCATTGGACTTTGCCTCCCAGACTCTTTAAAAATCCTTGGTTCCTTCCCTAGCACTCCACGAGGCCCTCCAGATAGCACTGGACAGATCTCTTCCTCCCTCTTCTGGTTTTTCAAGTATGATACACTTTCCCCCTGTTCTCTACCTAACTAGGGCTGAGATGGAACGATAACATCATCATTAGTCTCAGGTGGGAAAAAATCTAGAGTCCCCCACAGTGAAGAAATCTCATGCTAGGAAAACAGTCACAGATGCAATATTGTTAGTTAAGGTGCACACACAAGGTGACAATATTTCACATGCTAGCTTCAGTGTCCTCAGAAAGGCAGTGACTTGGAGATAAAAGAATGCATGCAAAAGTTACCATTGTGACCCTGCTATGGTGGCTCAGTTGGTTGGAGCATCATCCCACGCACCAAAAGGTTGGGGGTTCAATTCCTGGTCAGGGCACATACCTACATTCCAGGTCCCTGGTCAGGGTGCCTATGGGAGGCAACCAATTGATGTTTCTCTCTCACATCAATGTTTCTCTCTCTCTCTAAAATCAATTAAAACATATCCATGGGTGAGGATTAAAAAAATAAAGTTACCATAGTGTTTGCTCCCTAGTAAGCACTGAATGTGAACTCTCATTAAACTGAAGCTTTATTTTGGGAGAGTTAATGCATTAACGCCATGCAATTTTCCCTACAGCATCACATTTAATCCTCAGAGACCTTTGAAGGTAGAAATAATTTTTCTCATTTTTAGATATGGGAGACTGATGTTCTGTGAGATTAGGTACCTTAGCCAAGGTCTCTAGTATCTTAAAAGACTGAGCCAGCATTCAAATCTACTTGGTTCCAAGCCCATGCCCTTCAGGTCCCATTACTTGTTTTGTATAATTGAAGTCTCTGAGCCTCATATCTTTTTCTGTAAAATGGGAAAGTGACTACCTCATGGGACTGTGGGAGGATGGGAAGACTCCAAGCAGTGCCTGCGATATACTGTCAGTTGTAGTGATTATTAATGACTTCCCCAGCCGAGAGGCCTTCCCCCATGTTTCATTTCTTCCTGTTCTCTTCCCATTGGAGGAAACAGGCTGGAGGGCAGCCCCAGCTCAGGGAGATAATTTTAGAAGAGAATCCCCTGGCAGAGGTTAGCATGGGGAAGGGAATAGACTGAACTTCAACCTGATACCCTTATTCAAGGGTGGGGGTGGGGAGGATTGGGGCTGAGACAGATGCTCCTCTGTAATCCCAATGTGTCACTCCTCCTGAAAGCCTTCCTATCCAGAAAACGGGGACTAACGTTAGTCCCACTATTCCAGTACTTTCTTAATTAAAAAAAAAAAAAAAAAAATATATATATATATATATATATATATATATATATTTTTATATTTTATTGATTTTTTACAGAGAGGAAGGGAGAGAGATAGAGAGTTAGAAACATCGATGGGAGAGAAACATCGATCAGCCGCCTCCTGCACATCTCCCACTGGGGATGTGCCCGCAGCCCAGGTACATGCCCTTGACCGGAATCGAACCCGGGAACCCTCAGTCCGCAGGCCAACGCTCTATCCACTGAGCCAAACCGGTTTCGGCTAAAAAAATATATTTTATTGATTTTTGACAGAGAGGGAGAGGGATAGAGATTTAGAAACATCGATCAGCTGCCTCCTGCACAACCCCTACTGGGGATGTGCCCACAACCAAGGTACATGCCCTTGACCGGAATCGAACCTGGGACCCTTCAGTCCGCAGGCCGACACTCTATCCATTGAGCCAAATCGATTAGGGCTCCAGTACTTTCTTAACCTCTCCTAGACGTTGTATCCTTCCCTCCCTTGAGGATATCCCACTGTTGTGTCTTATAGTACAGCCAATCAGCTTCAGTTCACTCCCCGTGCCCTTTGCCCCAGTGGTCTTCTCCAGCCATATCCTCTCCCTCCACCTGATGTGCTTCCACTCCACTTAGTCCCTTTCTGCTCTTCCTCCACATTCAGCCCCCAGCTGCTTCCCACCACATGCTCCTGCAGAATGTCCCCTCTTGCTGAGCCTCCATAGCCTGTTTGCACTGGCGCACTTGCCTCTCCAAATCTGCCCTCCATACACATTGCATCCGGAAAATCCCCCAATTACACACAGCCCACTGCTTAGAATTCAGCCGTGGGCAAACTACGGCCTGCGGGCAGGATCCGGCCCGTTTGAAATGAATAAAACTGTTGAAAAAAAAGACCGTACCCTTTTATGTAATGATGTTTACTTTGAATTTATATTAGTTCACACAAACACTCCATCCATGCTTTTGTTCTGGCCCTCCGGACCAGTTTAAGAACCCATTGTGGCCGAGTCAAAAAATTTGCCCACCCCTGGCTTAGATCTTACCCTGGCTGCCCCAGAATTCTCTTACAACTATGCTTACACTAGGAAACCCGAAATCCAAATTGAACCGTGAGCTAAGGAATTCTACACACCTCATCCTCCAGTTCCAGGCCAGCCTGTTTCCTGTCTTCACCCCATACTTGAAAGAATCCAGAAGCAACACTGCTTGCTAATGACTCTTCCATCTCTCCTGTGAGAAATGCCAGTGGTGGCCATATTTTGGGCAGCTGCTGATGGTCATGACAACTAAGACGGGCTTATCTCAGGTGTGAACCTGTACATCTAAAAAAAAAAAATTGGCAGGGCCCAGCCTGTGTGGCTCAATGGTTGAGCACTGACCTAAGAACCAGGAGGTCACAGTTTGATTCCTGATCAGGGCACATGCTTGGGTTGCTGGCTCAATCCCCAGTAGGGGGGATTCAGGGGCAGCTGAACAATGATTCTCTCATCATTGATGTTTCTATTTCTCACTCCTGCTCCCTTCCCCTCTGAAATAAAAATATGTATTTTTTAAAAAATTGGCAGAGCCCAGTCAGTGTGGCTCAGTGGTTGAGCATTGTGTCATGAATCAGGAGATCCCCAATCAGGGCACATGCCTGGGTTTCGGGCTGAATCCCCATAAGGAGGGATATAGGGGGCAGCCGAGCAATGATTCTCATTAACGTTTCTATCTCTCTCTTTCTTCTCCTTTCCTCTCTGAAATCAACTTAAAAAATATATTGAAAAAATTAAAAATTTTAAAAAATTGGCAGCAAAATAAGAAGGGGTATGCCTTGTGAGGTGGTGAGGGATGCTGTAACGGGCTAAGAAAAATATGCAGGCATCGTAAGATTGTCTGCAACACAGAGACATAAGACACATATCAGTAATAAATATAAGTATTTATTTGGCACCTGATGGCAATGCAACATCCTGGCAGTGGGAAGTGAAAAGGTTTATCACCCAAATATTTCCATACAATACTGATCCAGGGGTAGGGAAAACTTGGCCACAAGTCCCCGAACCACCTGGATCACAGAACGAGCATTTATTGATTGAGCACCTGAACTAGGATACAGGCCGAGCACTGTGCCAGGCTCCATGAGATGTAGAGGAAGTTGTCTCAATGTGACATGTCTTCAGGGGATAATACCAGTGAATAAAACAAAACACCAAACTGTGTATATTGTCAAAAAGTAGGATTCTGGCTAGGGTTGCTTCCTTCAACATTTACTGAAGCCCTAACATATGCCAGGCACTGGGTACATACTAATGAACAAAAAAATTTTTGCCCTCATGGAGCTTCTAGTAGAGGAGAGAGAATGAACAAGGGAAGCAAGTAAATATTATCATAGGTTATGAAAAGTGCAATGAAGGAATTAAACAGGACACAGGAATAAACATAGCTCATTTAGAGACAGAATGGCCTGAGAAGGCCTCCACAAGAAAGTGGAATTTAAGCTGACACTTGAAGAATAAACCACCCAATCAATAGTGATGAGGAATGGCACTCAGCAGACCCCGAGAGAGTACGGTTCACGACAGGAAAGAGCTCAGAATGTTTGAAACTGAGGAAGCCCCTGGGGTTGCTGCTTAGAGAAAAAATAGCACTTAATAAAGTTCCAGGAGAAGGTGGGGCCTGTGGGCCAAGGTAAGGAGTTTGGATTTTATTTGAGGTGTAATAAGAAACCAAAGGGTTCCAAGCAGGGAGTGACATGATCAAGATTTATACTTAAAAACCAAGTCTGTTATATAGATACTAGATTGTAGTACAAAGAATGGAAGTCAGAGAGGCCTTCAGGAACTGGGAAGTCTGTGAGCACAGATAAGGACGGCTCCTAGGGTAAACAAACATGGACAGCCATCTAGCAAAGGCCTCCCTGAAACAGAGAGACATAGGGGACAAGGAAATAGGCCGTATAATATCCAAGGGGATTTAACACTGAAACAGAAAGCAGGAACAAGGAACTACATCACATCCTTGAGCAGCCAATTAGACCGATCTGGAGGCAGCAGTAACCAGGATCGCATGAATGAGGGGAGAAGCAGGAAGCAGGGAGAGAACAACTAGAAGATAAGGTGACAGGTTTGCAGCGGTTCTCAACCTGTGGGTCGCGACCCCTTTGGCGGTCGAACGACCCTTTCACAGGGGTCGCCTAAGATCATCCTGCATATCAGATATTTACATGACGATTCATAACAGTAGCAACATTACAGTTATGAAGTAGCAACGAAAATGATTTTATGGGTGGGTCACAACATGAGGAACTGTATTTAAAGGGCCAGAAGGTTGAGAACCACTGGGTTAGAGGATGAGGAAGCATCCCACCCTCACCTGCCCCTGCTGGCACTGCCAGGCTCATTCCAGTAAAAGTTCGGAGAAAAGACCTTTGGGACGTCCCTGCATAAAGATCGGTGAGTTCCAGATACACAGCATCCGATCCCTAGCCTCTGCTGAAAGCTTGGATTCCTTGAGTCCAGAGGAGCCACAGGTGGCACTGTCCTTCCTGCGGTGGCCTTGCTGCACGGGAGGAATGCACAGGCTGTTCCACACACAGCAGCGGAGTGTGTCTCTGGCCGATTGTCCTTCCAAAGCCACGTGGGAACTGCCTACATTAAATGAGGACTCTCACTCTGGGACAAATGGGGCTGGAATATGAAAGATGGGAGATGACCTCCGAGACATCTTAACTGACCTAACAAAAGCAATGACCACAATGCTACCTACAAAAGCCCGGGCAGGAAGTGAGCACACAGGTCGAGGAGACCTGCAAGCCTCTCCCCATAAGGCCCCAGTGCTCACACACCTTTCACCAGGCTCCTCTACGGCAGCCAAACGTTGCTGGCAACCCGTCCAGCCAGGACCAGCCCAGGGAGAGAGCCTCACCCAGGGGGAGCCAGCCTGTGGGCCGGGATTCAAGGTCGAGGATGGCAGGCTGTGAAACCAGCCTGAAACTCCCAGTCCCTGAGAGGGAAGGACAGAAACCGCGATCCTGCAGAAGCTCCAGCACACCACCTGTGGCCCCGGGGCGGGCGGAGGCGTCACGTGGGAGGGTGTCCAGGGAACAGATAGAGGTGCCGGCACAGGGTGCTACAGTACTCCGACATCTCCTTGCACCGGTGGAACTCTGTGCCAGGGGCATAGCCTTCGCGCTCCTTGATAAGTCCATTCACCTGGAAAGGCAAAAACCAAGAGTCCAAAGTCTGAGAATCTGGTGTTTTCACAGGAAGGGTGGAGAGGCTGCGGCGGTGACTGGGCAAGGGAGGAGGAAGGGACAACACCCTGGAGGGGCAAAAGGTTCACAGAGCCAGACTGAGCGACTTACTTTGACAAGCATGTCGGCCACGTGCATGTCACAAGCCCTCTCAGAGAAGATTTGAGTGAGGGCCTCGATATACCAGGAGCCCCGTTTGGTGTTACGCATGGCAGCAGTCCCTACAACCAGGACAAAAGTCACCACAGTGTGAAGGTCATGGGATACCCTTGCATAGCTGGACATCTCAAACTAGCTGTCCACGGCACTTTCTACCCGCCCCCATCAGAGCTGTACATGATAAAGTGCAAGTCTATAAGAGAGTGTAATCGTTTGGACTGTTCTAGAATTCACAATACCTCTGAGGCAGGCATAGCCACATATCATGTCCGAGCGAGTGGGCAGTCGCATCTTCAGCAATTCCTGTCTATCAGCATCACCGTCCTCGCACTCAGGGGACAGGGAGTGGCCCTTTCCATCCTGCTGGTCAACCCCACGATCCGTTTCATCTGTAGGAAGGCAGAGTGGACAAGGATGTTATTTCCTCTCATCTCTCTTGGGCCCGTCACAGACAAGCCCAATTTCCCTACAACCTTGACTGGGAAGAGCCATTTCCAGCTGCTGCCTCCAACCTAGAGCTGATGAGTTAAAATGCAAAAAAACCCCATTGCTCCCATTCCTCTCCCGACATGCATTCATTACCCCGGGGGTGCCCAAACACATGGTCTGAGCTGTCTATTCTGTGCAAGACGGGAAAGTGCTGAGTCACATACCCTGGTAAACAGAACTAAAAACTGCCTCTGTCCATGATTCACTTGCTCACTGAACAATGCACCTGAAAGTCATGGTGCTTTTTATTGCAAAACACAATGGATATATTTAACTTATTGTAAAAGAAAAAACAAGTTAATAAACCAAAAGTATGATTACATGTATGCCATATAAAAGTCACAACTTAAAAAAATAAAAAAATAAAAGTCACAACTTGAAGTCTATGTAACAATAAAAAGATTACAAAACTAAGCATGACCAGCTGTTTCCAAAGCATTTTTGGTATTTTTAAATCACTTATTACTTGTTTATTAATTCCATAAGCCATGTTGTATCAGGTATCCAATATTTAAGAGCAATTTAAAAGAGGAAAAACTTAGAAGAACACTATATATTCCAAAGTTTTAGCAGTAGTTTCTCAACCTACCCTGAGCACATGCCCTGCCTCTTGACTGAGGCCTTACCTATTCCCAGACATATTCTTATTTGATGTTGCTTCATTTGGGGGATGGGAGGGGGTGCATCAGTAGGAAAGAGAGACAGAGAAGACACACAACTCATCACATAAAAGATAAAAGTATGCTTTTTCACAACACTGCCTGCTCCACGCACCATTCAAGAGAGCCTAGAAGGAAAGAGAAGCTTGAAGAACTGGGGGGGGGGGGGGGGGGGGACAACCAAAATTCATTGATCCAAAAAAGATTTATTGAGCAACTGCCATGTGCCAGTCCCTGTTTTTGTTTTAAGCTCTAGAGAGACAGTTAAGAAAAAGTCTCTGCCCTCATAGACTACGGAGAAGGTGGTATTTTAAAAAAAACATATATTTTTATTGATTTCAGAGAGGAAGGGAGGGGGAGAGATAGAAACATCAATGATGAGAGAGAATCATTAATCAGTTGCCTCCTGTACACCCCCTTCTGGAGATCGAGCCCGTAATCAAGGCATGTGCCCTACCCAGGAATCGAACCCTGACCTCTAGGTTGATATGCTCAACCACTGAACAACACTGGCTAGGTGAGGGTGATATTTTTTATAGACATCGACAATATTAACTAAATACAGAAGACAGGTGAGCTCAAGTTTAAGTATTTAATTTTAAAGATTCAGAGCCATTTCTCACTATCCAGATCTACAGTGTGTGTGTCTCTGAATATAGGAGAAAATGATCATGAATGTCTTTCATTTTATTTTGTTGGTGGCACCTCTTGAAGGAACTAAGCCAAGCTGAATGTGTCCCTCAAGAAAAAGGAAATTTCTTTCCTACCTTCAGGCCTCAGATCTGTTAATAAATGTTACTAGTTCCTTCTTTTCAATATCCCCATATTTGTTTTCCACATTATCGCTAGAGTCTCCATTCATTCATTCACTATTTATTAAGTGCTACCATGTATCTATCAGGCAATGCTCTGGGCCTAGGAAAACAGCAGGTGAGTAAAAACCTAAGTTCCTGCCTCACATACTCTTTTCTTAGTGCAGCTTCCTGCCATGGTGATCGTCCTGGGAAAAAATCATCACATAATTTCTTTCTTAAGCTCCCAAAGCTCTGTACTATTATCTGCTGAAGCCCCAAATCTCAGCCATGACTAAAGGTTTATAACCAGCTGGCTCTACCTCATGTGGCCACATCTCACTATATACTTACAGACACTCGGTTTTTAAATTACATCCGGGTATACTTCTGACTCAGCACATCATTTTCTTTTTCTTTCTTTTTTTTTTTTTTTGGGTCGGGGGGCATCCTTTTAATCTTGCTGTGCTAGTCATATTATCGCCAACCCCTCTTTCTCCTGAAAGGTTCTATCTGCTACTCCACATCTATGGAAAGCTTATCATTCTGGGTCCAAAATAAGCCTCACCATATCCCCCAAATGTCTTCAAACTAAGCTGACCTAAAAGGACCGATTCCTTACAACTTGCGCTTCATATGTATGGTATCTCACTAATTTCACCCTTGCTTACTTCAGGCCTTTAACTACTCAGAACTACGTCAGGTATATTTGCTGTATTTTCCAAGTAATTAGTAGGCACTTTGGAGAGACCACATTTTCCTTTGCTTTTGTGACACTACCTAGTGTAGTCCTAGTCATGATGTAGGACTTTAATAAATGATATTCTTTGGTGATATTAGGAGAATAAAAACATTATTAATCATTTACATGTGCTGAACATACAACAGATAAAAGTAATTATTTGAATATTTGGACAAAATGACCTTTAAACCAACCTATAAGCCCTTCGAAAGCACTGATCATGTTATAACAGCCACAGCTGGCAGTTGTGGTGGATTTACTAGGAGCCAGGCACTGGGCTAAGCAGGCCCTTCCTATGCACTATTTCACTGAATCCTCACAACAGTTCTATGAAATAGGCCTGATGATTATCCACATTTTATATCAAGGAAACGAAGACAGAGGGACATCAGGTAACTTCTCTGACTTGACATAACTAGTCAGTGGTAGAGGCAGAATTTGATTGCAGTTAGTTTTTTGTTATTACTGGTTTCCTCCCAGTAAGCAAGCCCGCATGTCTGCTGAGCCCAGTCAGAGTCCTGGGGTAGAACTGCATGCGAGAAAGAAGAGGGAGGGAAGCAGCTCGGGAGAAGGAAGCCAGGCTGACCTGGTACCTGCTGTCCTGCATGGCACAGGGATGATGAAGCAGGGAGGCAAGGATGGCAGGTGAAAAGTCGAGAAAAAGGAGAAAGTGGAAAAGGGAACAAGAGATGGAGGAAGAAAAAAAGGAAGGGATAAAGTGAGAGGGACAGGAAGAAGAGACAGGAAATCCTTAACTGGAAGAAGTAACAAAAAAAGCACATCAGGTTACTGGTAAGCACAGAAAAAAGTCAGAGTCCTCAGAAAAGAGTCTTGAGAATAGGCATGGCGGTGCAGAGAGCTGACCGACCTGAGAGCCATGGGCTGCCCAGGTCCCAGCACACCCCATGCATCGGGGACACTTACAGAGCAAGAGAGGCGGTGGCAGCAGTGAACAGAAGGAGGTGCCCAAGGGATCCATTAGCACCTGAGAGGAGCAAACAGGAAAGTGAGAGCTGGGGGGAGGCTGCCCGGGAGCCGCCACCCCGGTGCTCGTCCTGCAGGGCACTCACCTCCACGGCAGGCCTGGATGAAGAACATTTTCGGCTTGTTCTGTAAGCTCGGGCAGTTGGCATTGTCAAAGAGCCGAAACACCTCTTGTAGCTGGTGGAAAGGAATAAGGGAGAAGGGAGGGTAAGTGGTCAGTAGGACCTTCTGAGTCTTATACACACAGCAGCAGCCAGCACAGGCTGAAGGTGACAGACGTGATCCAGCACCATCCACAAGACTGTACACACCTGAAGCACCTTGCCGTCCACACCATAGACGCCGCCCTCCACGCCGTGAGAGAGGAGGGCCACAATGCAGGAGTCAGTGACTCGGTGAGCAGGCAACTGGGCAAAATTCTGGAGTTTCTCTTGCATTTCCTAAAAGAAACACATCTTTTAGTGTTTTTCACTATAGTCAGCACCAATACGAGGTTTTCTGTGGCGTCTGAAACCTTAAGTTATTAGAAGGTAAAGTGATTTCTGTGGTCAATAAGTAAAGCCAGAGATCCGTTGAGAGGCTAGAAAAAGCATGGACTCATCAGAAAATGCATGACTTCAGACACAGAATTCTGAATGTAATTGCACAAAATTCACAGACTGAGATATGCTAAGAACTCCTGGATTAAAGCACATAACTAATGAAGCTAATCAAGAGCTAGTTAACTTTATCCATCCCCCTATCACCAACCAGATTTCCTTTGAGCAAATACTGTCGTACATTAGTGGCACAGGGGGGCCACCTGCTGAGCGGTGAATGAGTATCACCTATGGGGCCACAAGGAAATAAACTGGTCCGTGACAAAGGGCTAACAGGACCATGATCTAGAGAACAGCAGACCTTCTACGCTGTTTTCTGTCTGAGATCTGAAGTGCCCAGAGACAGTGATGATGTCTGTATAAAACACCTTGTTCAGGAAGGAGCACACTGTCTGGAAAATTCTGTCAGGGCCATGACTAAATGCATAGGCCACGGGGATCAGACAGACAGACTGAAGTTTGACCCCTGGGTTCAAAACTGGTACAAGTTATTAAGCCCCTCAAGGTTCTAATCCCCATTCTGTATAGCTATGTCTGGCATATCCTGCAAAGACCTGCCATTATTATGTGTATGTCTAATTAAGGATAACAATATTATCCCCCCCCCCCCCAAAAAAAAACAAACCCTATTACTCGTCAACCTTGTAGTCCAATTTAAGAATCTTGCTTTATTGCCTGGCCGCTGTGGCTCAGTGGTTGAATGTTGACCTATGAACCAGGAGGTCATGGTTCTATTCCTGGTCAGGGCACATGCCCAAGCTGTGGGCTTGATCCCCAGTAGGGGGTATGCAGGAGGCAGCTGATCAATGATTCTCTCTCATCATTGATGTTTCTATCTCTCCCTCCCTCTCCCTACCTCTCTGAAAGCAATGTTAAAAAAAAATTATTTTTAAAGAATTTTGTTTATTTAGCACTATACTGCCATACACGAGTACCTCTCTACTTTAGGCATTTGGCCCATCAATGGAAAGTTATACCATAATACAAAACCTGATACTAATTTTTAAACCTATGTCTCCCTCTACAACTCAAGATGCCTGAACTGTCTCTCCTATCTGAGATCAGCAGAGAGATAAGTTATTTTATTATGAATCTGAATGAACTGTAATGAAGATGAGTATGCTGTCCAGGCAGAAAAGTCACCAGATACAGCCCCGGACAAAAAGCACACACTTGTGTATTATGTTGCGGTGGTTCTCAAAGTGTGGTCGCTAAAGCAGCATCAGCACCACCTGGGAATCTGTGAGAAGTGCAAAGTCCTGGGCCCCAGCAACTGTGTTTTAACAAGCCCTTGGGTGATCTGACAATGCAAAGTTTGAGAACTACCGATCTGTTTGTTTGCAATACAGTTGACCCTTGAACAATGCAGTGGGTAGGGGCGCTTTGACACCCACAAAGTCAAAAATCTGTATATACTTCTGACTCCCCCAAAAGTTAATTAGTTGTCCTTCAGTATCTGTGGGGGACTGCTTCCAGGACTCCCCACAGATAACAAAATCTCAGATGTTCAAGTCCCTTATATAAAGTGGCGTAGAACAAGGCATACAGTCAGCCCTCCACATCTTTAGATTTCTAACAGTGCGTTGAAAATACTGTTTTCCATCTGAGGTTGGTTGAATCTGTGAATGAGAAACCTGGGGATATATAGTCTGCATGTAAGTGGACCTGTGCAGTTTAAACCTGTGTTGTTCAAGGGCCAACTGTACTTCTGTTGCACATAATTGAGACTTCATTATACAAGACTTGTAAGTCTGCAACATAACTGGAAATGGAGAAATTGGCTCTGTTGAAAAAGTATGTATATTTTCTGGGCAAGCAGAAGCCAACTGTAATATTGGAAATCTTAAGGTAATAAAAGATATCCAAAATTGACTTGTTTCAAGAATATATAACCCCAAGAGAATACGTAAGTATGAATGCTCCTCTGGAGATGACCGTAACAATTTAGCAAGTAGTAGTTGAAGTTTCTTTGTGGAAGGGAATAAAAAGATGAGCATTTTATTAGGTCAGTAAACAGATAACAAGAAAGTCCAAACAAAGAACACATACTTTGTAACTGAATTGATACGACTAAACCTTTCTCAAACCTTTCCTCTCCAATAAATGGAGATTAGTTATTTGGGGAAATTTTTCCAAGGTAGCATAGCTTAAAATAGGATCTGCAGCTTTAGTTCATATAAAATTACAGTACTTCTCTAAAGAGCAGTCTTGCCTTTATTTTTGGCTGGGGGTGGGGGGTACAGGAGAAGAGAATAACCTGCAAATCATCTGAAATTATATGCAAGATTTTGTGGATAGCTTCATTTTCCTGGAATGACCCACTGCTTGTCCCTATGTTCTCAAAGCAGTCTGCGACCCAACTGCAAGTTAAAGACCAATACCATACATCAAAAGAAAATTTGCCACTTAAAACGTGTTATTTCTTTATAGATGATGAATTGTAATTCTAGAACTAGCAGCCTCATGAGGGATATGCAATGACAATAGACTTAGATGCCGAAGAGAAGAAATGAAAACCAACACAAGCAGTGAAAGACCAGTGACCACTCCCGCACTGTCAAGAAAAGAGGATTCCCTAAGACTACACACTATTTCCAACTTTTAAAAGGAAAGTAAAAATGTTGTAATAGAAGGCAAAAAGAGGGAATCTTAATTTTTTTGGATTCTGTTTCTTTGCTCGCCAAATAATTACATAAGAGTTGAGTTTCTTGCGAGGTCCTTCCAGGAAGAAAGTATTCAGTGCAGATGTGCAGTGCACCAAATTCTCACCCCAACTGTGCCTACCTGATCGTACTGCATCGGAGCGTTTGGCCACTGCCAGAAACCGGTTCTGCAATGTCCTCCTCGCATCTCTAAATCTCTAGAGCCGAGGATTAGGCTACATGGAGGACTATCTCCTAAGGTTTAGCCTTAAGCCTTTTGCTCTTGTTACTATTTTTTAAAAAATATATTTTATTGATTTTTTTACAGAGAAGAAGGGAGAGGGATAGAGAGTTAGAAACATCGATGAGAGAGATCGATCACCTGCCTCCTGCACACCCCCTACTGGGGATATGCCTGCAACCAAGGTACATGCCCTTGACCGGAATTGAACCTGGGACCCTTCAGTCCACAGGCCGACGCTCTATCCACTGAGCCAAACCGGTTCGGCTGCTCTTGTTACTCTTTTTCAAAGATCTCATACTCTCATCAAGTATTTTTCCTACACAAGTAATTCCCAAATTTACATCTTTGGTCTCGACTTCCTCTGAGGCCCTCAATTCCTCACTTAATTTTTCCATCTCCCTTTATATGCAGTCATTCAATCACCAAGCAATGAAAGTACAGCCATGCCATTATACTGTTTTCACATATATTCTTTCCCTTTTGGTCCAGTAGGCCAGCAGTGGTCCGTGAGGTCCGAAAGGTTGGCGAACGCTGCACTAGACTGTCCAGGCCCTCACCATCTCATACCGGCATTATGATTTTAACTCCAAAGTGGGTTTCTTGCCATTAGTCTCTACTCCATTCTTTACAATGGTGTCATATTAATCTTTTCGAATCATCACGTGAATAATGCATCACTTTCTGCTCAAGAATTACTAATGATGTTCTAATGTCAAAACAAGAATGTCTAATTCCTTTGGGAAGACATCCAAGGCCCTGTGCATTCTGGTCCCTTTATCTTCAATCTTATTTTCAGCACTCTTGCCTAGACGAGTCTCAGCTGGGCTGACTGGGCACGTCAAGTCTCTGCCATGTATCTGTTCCATGCCAGTAGGCTACCTTAGGAATGTCCTCATGGAGATGACAGAAACACAAGAAAGAGCAAGGCCTCTCGAGTTGTAGACTTAGAAGCACCGTACTTGCACTTCTGCTTCATTCTATTACCCAAAGCCAGGCACATAGTCAAGTCCAGAGACAGAGGCAGAGGACACTTCAAAGTTAAATGCCCAAGGGGGTGGATGCAGAGAGGGTAAAAGATCATTCAACCCATCAGCAAGACCTATCAATTCTACCTTAGAAATACTTTCCACACCTGTCCAATACTCCTTCTATCTTATTGCTACCACCACTTCAGTTCACCATGATCTCTCTTACCTATCACCACCTGACTGCTCTGTCCAAATCTTTCTTGTCCATTCCTTCTCAAACCATTCTCAATGCAGCAACAAGAATACACTTAAAAAGAAAACCTGCTCTGACCACTCATTTAATTAAGTCTGCCAAATAGTTTCCTATTGTTCTCAGGATAAAGGTGAAAATCCTGACTAAGGCCTGAATTGTTTTCAATTTTCAATTGAGGGGTTATTTTAATGCAAATAGATGAACCTGGTGAAAAGGAGAAAGAGAGTGAAGAAGGAGTGTGGGAAAGAGAGGCTTTGTAATGACTTCCATGTGGGGACAGCCTGAGACCCCTTTCTCCAACCTCATCTCCTTCCATTCTTTCTTTCACTTTATGATTGGAACACACCATAATTCCCCAACTTGTACACTATTTCAAGCCTCTGGGGTCTTACTTGGACTGCTCTGTGTCCAAGTAGAGCTCTTTATCCCTCCTTTTGGTACAGATTCAAAACCCTCTGCCTTTCTCCTTTCCTTCTTCTAGGGAAAAAGAAGAGAGAAGAGCCCTGACTGGTTTGGCTCAGTGGATAGAGCGTCGGCCTGCGGACTGAAGGGTCTCAGGTTCGATTCGAGAGGAAGAGGGAGAGGGAGAGGGAGACCTGGAGTCTTAATTATTACATTTGACAGTAGCTTGCACTCCTAAATGTTGAATTTTATAGACCCCTTTGGGCTGGCAAAACTTATCCCAAAAGGAAACGCCTTAAGTTCTTGAATAGCATAGGAGAAAATGTTTATTCTATTTGTATTTATCTTTGTATTCCCAGGGATAAGACAATGAATGAATGATCCTGTAAACAGGAAAGCAGCTCCATGTTACTGATGCTAAAGAATAATATAGCCCTAGCCAGTTTGGCTCAGTGGATAGAGCATTGGCCTGCAGACTGAAGGGTCCTGGGTTTGATACCAGCCAAGGGCATGTACCTCGGTTGCACGTTCCTCCCTGGCCCGGGCCCTGATCAGGGCACATGCAGGAGGCAACCAATTGATGTGTTTCTCTCTGTCTTTCCTTCTCTCTTAAAGAAACAAAAAGAAAAATACATCGCCTGGCTGGTGTGGTTCAGTGGTTGAGCGTTGACCTATGAACCAGGAGGTCATGGTCTGACTCCCGGTCAGGGCACATGCCTGGGTTGCGGGTTCAATCCCCAGGAGGGGGCATGCAGGAGCTTATCATTGATGTTTCTTTCTCTTCTTCTTCCTTCCTCTCTGAAATCAATAATATGTATACACACACACACACACACACACACACACACACACATATATTAAAATAATACATTTTAGAAAAACATCAATGACTCAAATTCAACAATTCATTTATTCATTCACTAACTAATTTATACTAATTGCCACCATGTGCCAAGTACCTGAGATACAGTGTTAGAGAGACCTGTAGTGAGAAATAGAAATCATGGCACTTGGGGTGGGGAGTGGGAGATTCTCAGGAGCTATAGAAGAGAGGAGAAGGGATGGAGCCCTGGCACAGGATAGAGGACACAACAATGGATAAAAGAACTCTTGTAAAAAAAAAAAAAATGACTAAAAAACTAAGGGTTGAGAAATGAATGGAAGAAGCATTACTGTCAAGCAACACCTACCTCAAAACAATGTACCTCCCCCACACTGCGTATCCCGCTGCCCGACCGACCGACACCCCCCACTTCTTCTATCGCCACTTCTCCAGGCCGAAAACCGACTTCTGCGCATGGGCCATGAAGTTTCAATCGCACTGTACGTGCGCGCCCGCACGTGGTATTTTGTGGAAGAGCCACACTCAAGGGGCCAAAGAGCCGCATGTGGCTCGCGAGCAGCAGTTTGCTGACCACTGCCCTAGGCATTTGGATCAACCACTAGGTCCCTAACATCACACATACATTTTCTGTCCACACGCTGTTCACTCTGCCTAGGATCCCTTCACCACTTGTCTCTCCTTAGTAACTTCTATCCTTCAAGGCCAGTTCAAGTCTCCACTTATCCTTCAGACGATATCTACCCAGGCAATTGTTTCTTCCTCTTAACTACTGTAGAAGAAACTGTCTCTAATTTTGCTTGGTCCTTGGGAATATACGAGACATGCTTCCTTTTTTGCTGCTGTCAAGACTTTCTCATCTAACTGAGGTCCCCAGAACTCAAGGTCCACATTTTTAAATCTCTGGTGCCTAACAGTCTGCCCATCCTAAGATGCTCAAAATTTGATGTTACCGCAATTGCAGTTACAGAACAATGTAACCAGAGAAGGAGAATCCAGTAGGTCCTGGGGTCTGCATCAGGTTTAACATAAACAGGAATGGTGTTTATGAAATGGGCTCATAGAGCCACGCATTGTTCTGGCTGTCTCTGAAAACAACAGTACACAGCTGACTTGGTGACTCACGGTTGTATCTTTCACTGTCAATGCATGTAAGATTCCCACTGACTGCACACAATATGGAAAACCAGGACATCATCAATTCCTAGCAAAAGGAACAACCGGAGCAGAACCTGTAAGAAGCACAGAAAGCATTCCTTTTGTTCAGACTTTCTAACAGGATTCCCTCGGTAGGACTCATGGCTGATTCCCAACAGACCTCTCAGGAAAGCAGATGGCCTACTTGAACGCTCGATGACTAAAGCAGCTGCTCAGCCATGGCTTGGGAGCAAGGGTGGCCTTACTTCTCTGCAATAGCTGTTACTGGAAAGCTGGCAAGGACAGCATGCAAAAGAGAATACCCGAGACCCTACTGGTGAAACTGGCCTTACCAAAGTATAGCAAACACATCTTTTTCCTCACAGAAGCAAGACAGCTGAGAGGCAGAAACAGAGGCTGCAGACAATGTCGAAGACAAAACAGAGACCCCTACCTCAAAAGATCAAAGTGAATCTCCCAGAAACTTTAATTTTACCACTGACATTCCGAAAGGCAAGTTCAGGAAAATACTACTATTCTGGAATCAAAATGAAGAATATTAATTCACGCCGAGGCCGGTCTGGCTCAGTGGATAGAGCGTCGGCCTGCGGACTGAGAGGTCCCGGGTTCGATTCCGGTCAAGGGCATGTACCTGGGTTGCGGGCACATCCCCGGTGGGGGATGTGCAGGAGGCAGCTGATCGATGTTTCTCTCTCATCGATGTTTCTAACTCTCTCTATCTCTCTCCCTTCCTCTCTGTGAAAAATCAATAAAAAAATATAAAAAAAAAAAAAAAAAAAAAAGAATATTAATTCACCAACTGGCTATTACAATTTCAAAATAGAAATAGCCAAAGGTAATAAAGTTAGAAGTGAAGCTGGTTAACTGAGGTTAATGAAGAAAAGCTATAATGATGCTTATGATCTGCAGGCATCTAGTCCAGAAGTAATTTACCCTAAGATCTGCCTTGTGGCCACACAACTCTTAAAAACAAGGAATTTTCCCATATGTTAATTCATTAAACTGCCACAAAACGGTATTTACAAGGGCAATTCCAGCGAACTCTCATTTGCAACAATTTTATCTGTCAAAGTAATCTTTACAACAATAACTAGACTCCTGTTATGATTAACCAAGAAATAAATGCCCTGTGTAGCCTTGGCTTAGAAATATCCTTCTGAGCTGGTTGGGTGAATCTTAGCGTCTCCGCACTCCCCGAGTGATGGGGGATTAATTTGCTGAGCATGAAAAAATGAGAACCCAACCGTGGACTTTTACTACTCAGGAGGGAGAGCACAGCCTTCTGAGAAATCAACACTGAAGTAGCTGGCTGGCCCTAGTTCTTTTTCAAAAAACAACAACACCTTGATTGCAAGGTGAGAGGCAGAAAAAAGTGAGCAAGAAGGTAAGGAGTAAAGTAACTAGTAAGACAGCCCAGCAGGCAGAGAAGCAGCAGGGGTTTCTGGCCCCAAACGTGGCATCGGGTACCTGTGCAGTCTGGTCGAGGAGAACATGGACATCATAGCCCAAGAGCTTGAAGAGGGTGACGAGATTGCTGTGGTCCACATGCCCTCCGGAGCGGAAGTCCAGGTCCTGCTCTCCAGTGAAGTGCACGTTGCTCAGGACCAGTGCCAGGCCACGCGGCCGAGACTGCAACCTATAGGCCTGGGGAGGGGACGCCAATTAGACCCAGAGCTTCCTGAGGACAGAAACTACGCCTGCCCAATTAGGTGAGACGTTTCAAGAAAACACAGACGTCATACTCTTCTGAACCCCACCAGGTCAAGACAGAAATATGCCCATAGAAGACATCCACTAGCAAAGACTTTCTGACTAACAAACAGGGAGAGAATGTGTACACAAGCTAAGTTCACGTGCCCAGAAAGGACATCTCTTTTCCCAACTCTTTCCTCGTGCCGTTTTGCCAGACTCACCAGCTGGTGGTGTGTTCGATAGAACTCAGGAGTACACGGCTTCACCTGAAGGCAGGGTGGGCCATCTCTGTTGTCTAGAGAGTGTTCCACAGTATCTGTGGCACAGAAAGCCAAAAGCTAGCACACAATCTATGCATCAATCCTAGTGCTTCATAACTTCAGGCACCCTTCCAACTGGGGATTTAATAATTACTGGTCTTGCCCATTCCCCTCAATTTGTAAGATCCATGAGGTCAGAGACCTATTTACTTAGCCTAAATATAATTAGGTACTCAAGTCACCAAATAACTGAATTGGATATATGATAAAAGCCTTGTTCTAATTACAAAGCATCTCAATCAGAAGGCTAGTGGCTGATGATGTCTTTCCTCATTCTACAATAACTCAGCTTCATAGAGGAGACAGGAATATGCAGGAATTTCCTACCTATACAAGTTGCTCCAAGGGTCAATTACCATAAAAACATCATCTGTGATGGAAGGGAAATAAGACTAACCAATATCCCATCTAAACTGCCCTGCTAATCCTGAACAAATTCACCGAGGAAACTGTTCCCCGATATGAATGAAAAGTCAGATACCAGTTAAGAAAAGGAAGTCAATCTGTGGGACCCCTTTTATCCCATCAATTCTCACCTGCAGACAGGCGCAGCTGCTTGTGAGGAGGACAGGACTCACACACCGGGAAAGACAGACTCAAGTTGTGGTCACGGCTCAACTGTAAGAAATCGGGAGCCCCGTGCAAGGTCTTAGGGAGATGGTCCAGTCCCAATAAAACAAAGATCTAGTCTCCCCACCCTGTCTCATAAATTCCTTACCCACCAAACTAACCCTTCTTAACACACCACGTGTCTAGGGCTCCATACCGGTGAGAGTACATGCTCAAAACCAGAGAGGGTTGAGAGTAACAGATCCTCCAGGTGACCCTGCTTGGTTTCCCTCAGAGCCACACAGAAGGCATCAAAAGCATGGGGACCCCTCTTGGGAAGCAAGCTGAGGAGTTCCACATTCTGGCTGAAACTGCCCACTTTGGCCTACAATACAAGAATAAAACATGAAATCATATTTACATATCTAGCTATAATTCCATTTCTCCAGATGAGCTTCCTAAAAACGTCATCATCCACCTCAAGAATTCCTTTCACAGGAAAAACAATATGGGTGGAACCCTTCCCATTATTCCGGAATTATATACCTTTTCTGTTCAATGCTCTAGGGTAGAAGGGCATTTTCAATTCCTTAATAAGGCACCACACCCTTTTTACACTTTATCATGCTCTGTTCCTACTTCTACAACCAATTACTTGGCTTTTCTCTTTCGCCTCCAGATACCTGAATGTGCTCCCTCATTTCGAAGGTGATGATATCTTGTTCCAGGAGATGTTCTAATAGTTCACTCAGCAACAGCTGTTTGGCCAGCAGCACTCGGTTCTTTTTCAGAGCTTCCTGATGGGCAGGATGCATGCCACACACTCCCAATGCCCTACAGATAAAAGGCAGAGAGAAAGGCTGTCAATACAGAAGATATGGCCCAGAGAGTGGAGTGGAAGAGGTGTGGGCAGGAAGAACAAAAGGAACAGAACTTACAATAACCAGGTTGATTTTATCGAATCTCATTAAAATCAAAGAAGTATTGAGCATAAGGAAATGATGTAATTCTTTTTTTTTTAAATATATTTTTATTGACTTTTTACAGAGAGGAAGGGAGAGAGATAGAGTCAGAAACATCGATGAGAGAGAAACATCGATCAGCCGCAACCCAGGTACATGCCCTCGACCGGAATCGAACCTGGGACCCTTCAGTCCGCAGGCCGACGCTCTATCCACTGAGCCAAACCGGTTTCGGCGATGTAATTCTTTATGGAGTATGTTCAACTGAGAGCATTGTCTGAGATAAATGGTCTCTTCAGGGGAGGGAAATAGCTATCTTATCAAAAATACACACAAGCACACATGTATTCATGAGAAGGAATACTCCTCAGACAGACCAATTTCAATTAAAAGAATTATTCCAAAAAACACTTCACATTATTTATCTAGGCTGCCGAAAGTGATGTAAGTTTTAAATGATTCTGTGTGAAGAATAAAATAATTTGATACAATGGCAAAAACTCAAACCAACGGCCAGCTCTAATGGAAAATAAATGAGACAACACACAAACACACTCTATCTAGTCTACTTATACAAATTATAACTATGGCTTTTCAAACTTTAAGTTCCTGTGACAAAATGTGACTAGAAATTATTAGAATACTGTAAGAACTCGATAAGTAGAAAGTATACAGGAAGTCACAGTAGATAAATATCAATGATGGACACAACCACCATAATTTGAAATCACATAAAGAGTTAAAGCACAAAAAGGCTAAATTATTTTGGTAATTTAGTTTACTAGGGATATCTTTATTTCAAGGATTCCTTAGTTTTGTTATTGGTTTGGAAAGAGATCAGTTTCTGTTTATGAACTAAAAGAATCCCATTTAAATGTCTATTATCTATGTGCCTAGTTTATATAAATCTAGAGCTCGCCAGCCTGCTTAGTCAGTTTCCAAATATACGATAGTAGTAAGAGCCTGATGGCAGTGAGAAAGGATATGGTAATAGCTTCAGTTTATAACTTAAAACCCTATTTAAAGATCCATCTTGATCTCAAAGATGCTACAACGTGCTTCTTAGAATCAGGGAAATACCATGCACTTGTAGAATGCACTTGGCTTAACTCTAGGTGAGAGATTTGCAGTTACAGAAGCGAAAAGCATGGTCTTGGAAGAGCTGAGAGAGACCCAAGAAGATAGCATGTGGGATCCCAAGGCAGAGGAAGTGGTCAGGAACACATTCCCAGGGCTGGAAGCAGCCAGCCTAGGTTACAATTTGGGTTTAGAACAGTAGTGATGTTTTCAATTCCACTTAAACTTCCTGTTTCTGGAAAGACTCCTGTTACCCCAAACTTCCAGTAAAAACCTGCTACAACACAATCTACAGAAATCAAAAAACTATTTAATAATCACTTTAGAACACACCAAAGCAATAACAATGATAAAACTCAGGTTAAAAATAAGTGTAATGAGGCCAACCTCAACGTAAAGCCATCTGTAAAAGGCTTTGCCATACTCATTTTAATATGTGCCCGTTGCTGTTAACTTTTGATGAACAGAAAACTAAAGCAGCCCTGGCCGGTGTGGCTCAGGGTTGTCCCAGGCACTGAAACGGTGCTGGTTCGATTCCTTGTCAGGGCACATGCCTGGATTTTGGGCTCATCCATGGTGGGAGACATGCAGGAGGCAGCCCATTGAAGCTTCCCTCTCACATCGATGTTTCCTCTATTGATGTTTCCTTCTCGTGCCAATGTTTCTTTCTCTCTCTCTCAAAATAATAATAATAATAATAATAATAATAATAAAACTAAATCAAACAAAATAAGTTTTTCCTCCCTTGAATCCCATGACACCATTCTCTCCAGGTCCTCTCTATGCCCACCATATTCCTCCAGAGGACCTTTGGCCTGCCCTTAAATGTTGATATTAAGAACCCCTGAAAGAAGCTGTCTCTAGTCTGTCTCATCCATACTCATAATTCAATAATTAACTCCCAGTTCTTAAACCTTGCAAGTCCCATACCTGAATTTTCAATCAAAAACTTCCTTGGGTTTGATCTGAAGCATCATCTGTTTTCTTTTCTTTTCTTTTTGTTAACCCTCACCGAGGATATTTTCCCATTGATTTTTAGAGAGAGTGGAAAGGAGGGGTAGAGAGAAAGAGAGAGAGAAACATGGATGTGAGAGACACACATCATTGGTAGCCTCCCACACATGCCCCCGGTGGGGGCCTGGATCCTGCTAGCAACCAAGCAAGGTATGTGCCCTTGACCAGAAACAACACACACACCTTTTAGTCTGAGGACCGATGCTCTGACCACTGAGAAACCGGCCAGGGCAGCATCATCTGTTTTGCACACACCTGCTCCTTTCTGTATTCCATATTGGGCCGTGAATCTCAAAGGTGGACTTTCCAAAAGTAACCACCATCCTAGAACTTTAGGACTCATCTGGAAGGGGAGGACGGGGTAGACAAAAGGACACAGAGTTCTTCAGTCCTGATCCAGTGTCCTCCATCACGTTTCAGTTCCGAAGTCTTCAATTAATCTTCTGTGTCTGGACCAGGAGGCTCTTACATGTTATCCTGTGTGCTGTCTGCCATTAAATGCTACAACTGGGGCAGAGATGGAGACACACGGGGGGCCTGGGGAACCTCCTGGTCCTTTCAAAGTGATCTCACCCTTTCAAAGCCTGTGCTGACTGCTTCGAAAAGCTGGTCATTAATACCCAAAGCAATACGGGTCATGCTATGCTCAATCCAAATCAAATGAACATTAGGCAGCATCAGGAGGTCTGCAGGTCTCATGCAGAAGGGAAGCAGGGGAGAGGCTCTCTGAAAGATTTAAAGATGGAGAATCTTTAAGAGAGGCCGAGATTTGGCAGGGATGGAAAGCGCTCCCTTGTTCAAAGCCCCCCTGGGTCGGACGAATCCAGGCCGGGCAGGGAGGGACTTGGCCGAGAAGAGGCTCGCGCGCTCCTGGGGGCGCAGCCCGGCTTCCCACTCCTGGCAGGAAGCTCGGACAAGGCTCCTTAGGGGTCCAAGGTGGGGAGAGGCGCCAGGGCCACACGCCTGAGCCGCGCGATCGCCTTCCCTGGGCCCCACTAAGGACCCCTGGGATCTTCCCTCACTCACCGGCGTCCCCTGTCAGCGGCCATTTGCCCGTTTAGGGGAAGGGCGGGCCGGGAGCCCGCGATCGGCGTCGCCATTTCTCGCTTTTCCCGGGCTATGCACGCACCGCCCACGATCCAAACAAACCGAAAGCCTCCGAGTCCTCTGCATCCCTCTCCCGACTGGCGGCCCACAGCGCGCCTGCGCCCTACCTCGCTTGGCCCCGCCCCTCGACGAGGCCGCCCCGCCCCGCCTGGCACTGGCTGCGCGCGCAGGCGCAGAGCCTCCCGGTGGAAGCGCTGTCCAATGGAGAGCGCGCCCTCGGCGGAAAAGGAAGGGGTGGGCACAGCGCGAGGAGCCGCCCTGCTGTCCGTGGGAACGCGATTGGTGGTGGGTTCCCGCGGAAATCATGGCTCCTTCCCCCGCACCGCCCACTCCGCCCGTCTGGCCTATTGCAAGAACTTCACAGAGGCGGGCGTGGCCGGACTCTGTACTTTATTGAAATGTTGGGGCGAGAGGAAGGAAGCGAACACTAGGAGGCGCCAGACCGCTACCCGCTCAGTGACTGGAGGCCGGTGTGGGCGCGCCCCAAAGAGGAGGGTAGGTCAGCGGTGGTTGAGCAACTCCCAGCGGCTCAAACCTACACCACAGCCCAGCACACGATTCCAGTCTCACACGGGCCGAATAAACGAGGCATGCGGGCCGCGAGTTTGACATGCTTGTGCCAGACATGTGAGGAAGCAGGGCCGGGCTGATGTGAAACTCCAGCAGTTGAGAGTGCAGGGGTGAGGCTGAAGCGATGAGAGTCAGTGCGATTGATTCCAGCCTTCACATTGGATGACGCAAGAGTATCCTTAGATACTCCCCCACCTCTGCCGAGAAGCTCACGCTTTATCCTTGCTGATCCACCTCTCCACCCATCCTCGAGACGGGGAGACCCTAACCATGGGGCAGTTTACTCCCCCGCTTTCCGTAGGATGGGGACCCTTCGTGGGGCACTGCTCTCCAGCCCTTGGGCCAGAACTGCTTCCCGCGTGGAGCAGGGGTTAGCACAGCTTTGACTAGCCTTGTGCTTCCGGGAGGCTGGGCACACGCCTGATCACTCTCAGCCCACCCTGTCCGCAGACACTACTGGTCCCCCACTCTGTCTACCATCCCTCACCAGCAGTTGCCTGAGACAGACCGAGAGATGTGCGGATGGCCTGCCTACCTTGTTTTGAGAACATCATAGGCTTTCGGATCAGAAGAGCAGAGTTCAAGTTATTTTTATCCTGTTTACTAGCCCTGTGCTCCTGTGCAAATAATCAAACTTCTCTGACCCTTGGAACCCTCATTTGGAAAATGAGGGTGATTTTACCCTATGAGGCTGGGAAGTCTAAGTGATCTAATGGAGGCAAAGCACCCAGAGCAGAGGCAACATAACCTCACTCAGGTGTTGTTTCTTTTCTTTCTTCTCCGGATTCTCTGGATCATTGCCTCATCTCACCCTCAATCTAACTCTGAAAATAACGATTATGGGTTAGGTTTCTGAATGTCACCTGAAAAATTCAAATTGTACCACCTGCATCTCAACTGAGAAGGGCTTACCTTAGCCTAACTCCCCTCTGGGTTAAAATCCCCCTTGGTGATGTCCAGTTCCTGATGCGTAGCAGGCACTGGGAAAAGTGGTCAAATGAATGAGTGGGTCTGGTGCAGAGAGATGGTATGTCCTGGGAAAGTCTGTTAGGGGGGTGTCCAGTTGTCTTCATAAAAAACATTCTCATCATCAGGGTGACTGAAGCTGACATCATAGTCAGGCGGCGGAGTGAGAGGCTCCAACCTGGGGAGCGACTCCAATTTGGGGAGCATGCCCAAGCTCTGCAGATCAAGAGCAGTGGACGCAACTCGTGGCCCCCGAAGCCGAAGGCTGATCGGAGCTCTCCCAGCACTTCCTGGGCCCATAGACCCCTCTGAGCCCACTCGCCTTTCCACTCTGGCTCTCCTGGGCCCCTCTGGATAGTCAGGCTGTCCCTCCACAAGACCTGGGGAGATTACCACACTGCTGTAGGGAGGTGGTTGATCCAACTCTTGGGGGCGGCACTGTGATTCCAACACCACGGCCTCTTCATAGGGTGGCACCTCAAAGGCTTCATTGTCCCTGACGAAGGAGAAATAAGGTCATTGGTGGCTTACTGAAAGGAGCCCTTTTCTATCTTCTACCAACAAAAGACCCCTCCATAGCCTCTGCCCCCTCCTCTCACTGATGCCAGTGATAGAGGTGGAAAGCAGAGCCCATATGTCTGAGAGACTAGAGAGACACAGGGAGAATGGGCACAGCGCAGCGATTTTTCATCCGGTGTGCTCCAAGAATTTTAAAACATGCAATACCTGACTACTTAGTCAAGGGCACTGACCTTCCCCTTAGGCTGTCTAAAAGAATAACAGTAGTCATCACAACAATAGCTGTATGGTGTGAATGAATCAAAATCATACCTATTATTTTTGTCAGATTGGCAAAAAAAACCCACACGTTTTTTGGTGTGCTGCAGAATTTTAGTAATTAGTTTATGTGTGCCACGAGATGGAAAAGGCTGAAAATCACTGGTACAGTATATTCCTTCAATCCCGCCCACCCCTCGACTCACCGAGCATTGCCTGAGGCCCCTGGGCTCTCCGGCTGCACTGATTGGAACACCCGTTCCAGAAAACGGGCCAGCAGGCAGGCAAACATGAAGAAGCCACCCAAGGCCAGAAAGAAATAAGCAACAGGGACGGTGTCCGGCTGTATGCCCAGCAAAGCCAGCCCCAGGAAGAAGGAGGCACAGCACAGGTAGAGAAGTGGCTTCTCCAGTCTCCCCCACAGCTGGCTCGGCAACATGGCCCCTCCCCAGGCTCCTGCAAAAAGACACACAGCTGTTGTGTCTCGACCAGCAACTGGCATCATGGCTGGGACAGATTCCAAAGTAACCATATCAGACACCTTCTGGAGGTTTCAGGCTCTTCAACCTCAAATCAAATAAATGGCCAAAATAAATGGTCATCAGTGTCCTCTCCAGTTCTGTAATTCTCTGTAGGTTCACTCTGTACCGGGTCCCAGGGTATCAGGATGTGTGGAATAAGCCAGGACACCTGCCCAAGAGTTCTGATTCCCAGCCATCAAGCCAGTTTACTGTGTCATGGCCCTGCCCCCCTTCCTTTTTCCTCCTTCCCTGGATTCTCCCAGTTCTATCATTCCACATCAGGATCCAGTCCTGGGTGGGCCCTGGGACCTTGGGGTTCACTGGCATCTCTGGAATCCAGGTGATGGGGCAGGCCCTGCTCTTTTTCTATTACTGCTTGCACTGGACCTCTATTCCTCAGCTGCCCAGCCAAGGCCCTCAGTAAGACCCTGTTGGGGTGAGTAGGGAGTGGGGGGCGCCACTTACCTCGTGTCTGACCCCACCTTCACATTTCCTCCAGTCAGTCCATTCTAGGTTGGAGGGAGAAAATGCACAGGGCCACAGCTACGAGAGAATCTTACAAAGGCCTAGGGCCATGGACAGAAGCCAGATAACCTCTGACCTCTCTACACTTCACACTTCACACCCACCCGGGTCCTCCACCCTCTCCTGGGTCTAACTCAGTCAGCTCACATTTCTAGTTTTCTGCCTGCAGTAAACAGGGGCTGGGAGGTTGGTGGGAAGAAGACGCTTCTTTCCTTTGCAGCACAGCGGCAACTCACAGGCAACCATGTCAGGAGTTCCCTGAACTCTGCACAGCAAGGACTCACAGACTCTACAAAGGGGCCAGGCCCCCTCCTTACACCCCTGCCCCAATCCCATGACCCTCCCGCCACCTGTCACTCACCTTAGGAGTTCCTACCTCACCAGTCTGGACCAGACACCAAAGAAAGTAGGTTGTGGGGGAAGTGGGAGGAGGAGAGGAGGTGGAGCCCACTGGCCCCACCCTCTTTTTTGCTCCAGTCTCAGAGTTCCAGCCCAGGCTTCATTTTTCCTCCTTTCTCCATCAGGCTGACCTCTTGGGGCCCCGCCTTGATTTTTTTTCTCACTCCATCCACCCCCTTCAGTGCCTAAATGAGAGTGCTTTTCCTCCCACCCCTATGAACTTTGTACTTAGGACCAGATTTAAAATCACCTGTCCTTATCCATTCTCAATTCACAGTGCATTCAGAGCAGTTTGCCTTATGTTCAAGGAGTATATATTGTGCCTGGGAGCAGAGATCACGGTTTGTTTTAATCTCTGTAGATCATACCGTGCTCTGCAGACTGTAAGTACTGCTGTGGGCCTGGAATGGCGTGTTCTGCTTTCACTGCCACAGTACCTTTTCTATGAACTGCTTGTTTTCTGCAGACCTGTAAGATGAGTCTGTGTGTATGCTTCTTGGCAGGGTTAACTCTTGATTCTTCAAAAGCCACCTCTAAGGTCATGCCTGCTGTGGAGGCTGTCTCCTCGCTGTGACCACAGCACTCCATCCTATTCCAGTCTCAGCCTTTACCTGTTTCTATAGTAATTTTCTGTTTATACACTTTTCTTCCACTGCAAGAAATCATGGAGAGTGATTAGTTTTCAGTCATCTCTAAATCCCAGCAACTAACTCAGGCCCTGACATATAGCAGGTGCTTACTAAACACAATGGAGGCCCAAGACCCACTCTTTCAGTTGTGGGTCAGGCAGTAAATCTGGGTGAAGGAGATGCTGGGAGGGAAGGTGCAAAGTGGCTGGAAGCACACCTTGTCCTTGAGACTCAGAGAAGGACAGACAAGGCTGGGTGCCACGCCTTCAGAGAGTTACCACTGGACAAATGGAAGGGAGAAGCAGGTAACGGGGCAGAAGTCTAATCCCAAGGACAGCCATGGGGCATAGCCTGGGCTGTTGCAGTAGACCATGTGGAGCCTGTGTGTGTGTGTGTGTGTGTGTGTGTGTGTGGTGTGGGAGGGCGGGGGGGAGGCGGGTGCCTGGAGTGGTATGCCTGTGTGTATAGTAGTGGAATGCCCATGATGATGAGTCTCTGTCCCAGACCGACGGAGAGGAGAGGGAAGAGATGTAACAGGAAGGCTGTTGTATAAATCAGGTGTGTCTCTGTCGACATTGGGAATGCAGAGTGGGAGGAGAGCTGATTGTTATTTTGCTTCCACCAATTTCCTTACTGTTCAGCTCTCATATGGGAAAAGTGTGGCTGGGGTCAGAAGAATTTCAGTCTGCAGTTAATATACTAATAGAAGGAAATTGGCCAACAGCCCTTGGTATGTATAATAAGTGTAGAGGTAAGGAAGTCTAAACCTGCAGAGAATTTTTATGAGTTTATTTGAGCCAAAACTGAAAATTGCTGGGAAGCAAGATCTAAAATGCTCTGAAGAATGACAGGGTTGCAGTTTCTTTTATGCATTGGGAATTAAGGAGAGAACACAAGGAAGGTGGAGAGAGCAAGGTGGGCAGGGATGGCATTACAGGGTAAGTTTATGTGCTCTCTTGAGGGGGATTATGTCTTCAAGGGGCATTACTTCTGGTATTTCAAAGTTGTGTTTAACCTAGATGCACCCAGGGCAGGCTTAAAAACCTTTCACTAGCGAAGTGAAAGGTGTAGGGCACAATTACCCACTGTGACCTTCCCAGTTAGGAATTTATGATTAGATCCCCCTGTGAGGTTACTTTCCCTTTTCATCCACAACATCTGGTAACATGTAATTTTCCCTCCTTTTTTGATTGTTTCCTACAGTTGAATTCTGCCGGAAGCCGGTCCATCCTTGCTGCTTGACACAGTCGCTGCAGGAAAGTAACATCTGCACAGCATATGTTTCAAGGGACCTGGCGTATATGGCATACTGTTCTTAATATGTTTGCTTCCCTACTTAGCGCTATGTGTTTTAACCAAGGTCACCTCTCTGAGAAAGGTTGTTTCCCCAGGTGGGGATTTTTCCCTGGAGTTAGGGATTAACAGGACTAAGGAAGGGAATAAATCAGTAAAACCCCTTAACTAAGTGCCAGGCGGGTAGTTAATCACTTTAACTATGAACAATCACGCTTAAGCTACATAATCTTTACTTAGGATAGGAATGGAGATAACAAGTGCCCTAACCTTTGGAATAGAATGGATAGGATTAAAATCAACTGGTATAAATACAGATGTAAAGGAGAATAAAGACAGAACCTGGCTGGAGGACCTGACTAGAGAATCTGGCTAGGCTGCTGATCAACTGAACGCTGTCTCCATGTCATTCCTTCTTTGCCGACTCCGTTCACACCTTCGGGAACCCCTGGACCTGCTGGGGTTGGACCCCAACAGAATTCTAAGAAGTGTCATTACTGAGATAAGCAATTTGAAAGTGTTTATTGCCTAGAATACTCATGGCCAAATTGCTTCCCAAAGCTCTTATTCTTTTATCAATTTAGCATCCTTAGCAATTGCCCATCCATTTTCTACTTGCCTACCTTCCACAAACCACCTTTGTAAAAGTTGGTTGACCCCTCTCATCTGGCCACTGTGCCCAACTAATTTGTGGGGATAATGGCAAAGGGAAGTGAGGGGCCCAGACGGCATGGCTCGGTGGTTGAGCATCAACCTATGAACCAGGAGGTCATGGTTTGATTCGCAGTCAGGGTATATGCCAAGGTTGTGAGCTCGATCCCCAGTAGGGGGCATGCAGGAGGCTGCCAGCCAATCAATAATTCTCTCTAATCATTGATGTTTACCTGTCTCTCTCTCTTTCCCTGCCAGAGCTGACCAGCAGCCCCTGAGTGATGGATGAACAGATTACCCCGACACAGTTTCACTATGGGGGAGAGGGATAAGGGATGGCCCAGCTGAAGAAGCCAGGCAGCCACGACTGCCTGCCTCGTTAGCCTTTTTTTTGTACAGCAGGGTGAGATAAAGTTTATCTTTTAGATACAATCAGCAGGTAAGTAATATTGGGAGGACACATGTGTTTGCATTGTCCTCTAGGCAAGGGCATTCAGGGATTAAGCATAAGGATTCCAGTAAACACCCGGGGGTCTGCACATGCACAGACCTGTTTGGAAAGGTCAAGGAATAATTAGGGGCGCCACCTTCAACACTCCCCTAAATCTCCCCTAAGTCGGAATTCCAATAAACAGGGAAGATGACCTTCCACACACTTCCCTTTTCTCAGAATATCCTCCTTACAACTTTCCAACCAAGTCTTTTGTGCTCCTCAACATCTCCCTTCCTCTCTGAAATCAATAAAACATATTTTTTAAAAAGGAAAGTGCGGGGACAGGGGAAAAGGGAGAAGCAGAGATGATTGACAGACTTCCAGTGAGTCTACCACTGAATGCTTCCCTAAGACTGTATTTCTGTGATTTTGTGCTTCTGAATATGGGTCTGCTTTATACTTGTGGCCAGCATGTGTGCATTATTTTGTGTACTGCTCACTGTGCTAAATTCTTTATGCAAATTAAGTAATTTAAAATATGTAATAAGAGGTACTGTTATTATGTCCATTTTATGGGTGAAGTCAGACACTTGAGGAAAATGTTTAGCTAATCAAGGGTGGGGTCAAGACTTGAACCCTCAATCCCAGTCCAGAAACCTGGCTCTTAACCACTTAGTATGCCCACTCTAAACATTCTTTTTGGCTGCCCTAATAATGATAATTTAATGAGACACCTGTGATATTCTAAGACCTTTATTCTGATCTTCCCTGGAGAAGTGGTTAGATGCTATTGCCTGTTGCAAAGGCAGCAAAAGAGAATATCAGAAAATGACATAAGATATTGACTATAAGGCAAGATTGGGAAATTAAAATCACAGGCTCTGTATCAGAATGCTTATCATTTATGAGCTCATTAAGACTGATTGTGAAAGGTAACACTTTTAACTGAATGGCTCTGGAAGCCCAATGTTCGGGTGACTTCTTTAAAGGGTGTTGGTGGTAATATATGTGTGAAGAAACAATTTGGCCCACATCCATGATTTTCATTTGATCCTTAATAACAACCATGTGGGGGCAGTCTGATGATCATTTTCATGTTACAGCTCAGAGAAAGTACATGCTTTGTTTCATTAGAATCAAACGTAGAATCTTGACCTCTTAACATGGTTGAGAGTGTTTTTCTCTGTTAGTTGCCTTACAGCTCCTCAAATGTGTAGGGAAAGTGGATAAATGATTTAACATGAAGCAGGTCAGAACACTGATATTTCTGGGTTGGAAACGCTTTCAAAGAATCATAAATCGTCAAGTATGTCATCACCCATAAATCTTCAACTATGTCATCACCCTCACCAACTAGTTGTCATCCTATATAATAAAGAGCTAATATGCTAATTAGACCAAATAGCAGATCAACTATCCAGACGACCTTCTGGATGAAGCCAAGGCAGCCTGGGGCTGCGAGGGCTTAGCCCCTTGCAGAACTTCATGCATCGGGCCTCTAGTATTGTATAAAGGTCTCTGGGGACAAACTAAGTGAAAATTGGGGTTCAGGCTGTCCCTCTCACTCAGATATTTAGGACAAAGCCACAAAAAGTGACTACGGAATTTGAGAAATTGTTATTGCCAAGTGACAAAAATGCATGTGTTTATTAGAGATGTCTACAGGTAGTGGTAACAGGTTCCCACATGAATATGTCCCTATATATGAGAAAACAAGGAGGCATTGATTGTGGTTAGTCACATATTTTTTTGGAGATGGCCAAACCAGGTTTCAGATCTCAGTTCTACTGTTTTGCAAACTTGGATTTTATGTGTGTGTGTGAATGTATATATATATATAAAATGTTTTAAATTATGTTAATGAGAACACCTTTTCACTGTCTTTTAAAAAGATGATTTGAACTTTTAATCTGAAATGGCTCTGGCATTAGGACTTATTTGTCTCCTGGTCGACAGGGCTTAGATGCCACCGCATGGCTGAGCATGTCCTCCTCCACTGCAGGTCCTTGTCTTGTGGCTACCTCAGGAGCTTCATTCTTTTATGTTGTTGTTAATACTCACTCAAGAATATTTTTCCAGGGTTGAGTCATGGCATTTCCCTTGTCCTGGTCAGAAACCTTGCCCCGAGAGAACCAAGATGGCGGCATAGGTTAACGCCGGAGTTTGCTGCTTTGAACAACTACTTCAAAAGTGAAACCAAAAAACGGAAGGGACATCACCCAGAACCACAGGAACGCTGGCTGAGTGGAAGTCCTACAACTAGGAGGAAAGAGAAACGCATGCGGACACTCAGAGGAGGCGCAGTGCTGAAGTCAAATTCTGAGGTGCGGAGTGCGCGGAGCGGGCTGGCGGCGGAGGGCGCGGTTGGCGTTTTCAATCGGGAGGGAGTCGCAGACTCTGAGCTCCAGATCCGGGCGAGTCTTTAGGGACCCTGACTCAAACGGGAGAAGCGGGACTGTCTGGCTTCGGTCAGAGCGAGTGCAGCTTTCTCTCCGAGCTTTGCAGCGGGTGCTGGGACCCAGAGAGGCAGAGCCCCTGGGGACAGGACTGAGAGCCGCCATAACTGCTCTCTCCGGCCCACCCTGTTGATCCTGTGCGACCCGCCCCGCCCAAGCCCTGCACACAGGCATTTGCCGGATAGCCTCAGGCAAACGCCAGATTAGCACCTCCCTAGAGGACAGAAGTTCTCTC